GTTACCTTATATATTTGTTCCAGGATAGTTAGCTTACATGTTTCTAACTCAATCACGCTTGGAGAGCTAAATGGATAGACCACGTCTTGTTTTAATACAAAGATTTTTTAAAATTTCGCAAATGCTATACACCATATTTACGGATTTTACCGCGTTTAATTTAAACCTTGTTACTCCCGACGTTTCCGGCGCTTTACAACACCCATGATCACGGGAGGGAGAGGGGAGGAGGAGGGTACTTCAGTATTTGACGTCCTCTCATAGTTAACGAAGACTATTTTTGTTCTTTTGTTAGTTCTGCGAAGATCGTACCAAAGAATAACACGATATAATCCGTAAAATCAGTTTTCACACATCGTGTTTTAGCAAATGTTATGTAATGTTACGATTTCACGGTGGCCCGTTTCCATTGACACCAGCCATCTGCAAAAATGATAATTGTTGATTGTCGTCTGATTGCACCGAGATGCAATACAGGTATCGGGCCTCGGGGTGACCCCCCATTACCCGGGTGTCCTCATGCCCCATTATTATGGGACAGTCCTTATTGCCTATTCAGGCTAATAGCATACCGGGTTTTCGGTGTTTGCGGTTTATGTTGTTTCCGTAGTTTAACCAACTACGGAAAAGGTGGTTATCTGGTTAAGTCTGGGTTGGCCTATCTGCGGCATTGTGGGTTGTTACTCAACTCTCTAATCACATATAGAGAGGAGTTCTCTTGGAAGAGGTCGCCCGTCCGGTGGCCGGGTATGCAACGGCGCAAAGCCGTTGAGATGTTCATGTGGCCCGTTATCGGCACGGTCAAACATGCCGCGCGCTAACCGGGCCACGAAGTCGATGATGTTCTCGATCTTCAAGTCCGCCGCTATCACGTCGTTCCGGACGTAGCGACCTGCTCCGACGATCGTCCTTAGTGTCAGATTCTGCTGGGCCTGTAGTCGCCGCCTCAGAGGGTCGCTCAGAAGTGCGTACCAGGCCGGTGCAGCGTAGGTGATGATAGTCCGGATATACATCTTGTATATCCGGAGCTTAGTTCTTAGAGGCAGCTTGGATGCCAGGACCGGCAAGAGCGTCGCCCGCGCACAACGGGCCCGGCGGACGACGAAGTCGACGTGCGCGGTCATGCGCAGCGTCCTGTCGATCCTACACCCAAGGTAAGTTACAGCCTTCTGGTACGCAATCTCCTGGCCGTTGAGGGTCAGCGGAGGTGGTAAATTCCTGAGACGGCGAGTGAGCAGAGCGGTCGTCTTACCAACGTTGACGACCATCCTCCACTCATCCAGCCATGGTGGCAGCAGGTCAATGATAATTCTGCGCATCTGAACAACTGACTCAAATGACACGACCGGGGGGAGAGCTGGCACAATAAAAAAAGCTTACATGCTTTCCGAGGTATCGGGGTGAAACACCGCAAACTCCGGGCTTCTACTGAGTCTTTTGATTGAAAAACCCAATAACTGATTTTTTGGCTCGACCGGGGATTCGAACCCGAGGGTCATAGGATATATTGAAGTTCACAACAGGATCGCTCCTCTGACGCTGCTGCCCATCGCCGGTCTCTTTCGGTCATCGTCGGTATTTTTGTCAAACGAAAGGAGGTATTTCCCATAGTCGCTTCTTATGACGACCACGGGACGAAATATTGTGATTTATTCTTTTACACCGTCATTAAAAATATTATATTGTAGACTTCCGAAAATCGAATGCATTACAATGTTAAATAGGAAAGTTAATAAAACCATTTATAATAAATCACTCAATCTAAAACTAAGTCTATTATTAACTTCATAAAACCTACTCAGTTAATGGTCGGAGGCCGAAAGTTATAATAGTTTAGGGGAAGAATTGGATAGCTGCGTTTATAGCTGCATTTAACGTTCTATAGTCACGTGATCGTGTCGTTAATGCTGTTTGACCCAGAAATACTCTCACCACACAGCAAAATATCTTAACATGATTTCTACTTGTTTCCGTGATTGATGGACGGTATTCAAATTATTATCCTGCCATTTTGAGAGGCCTTAGCAGAAAACAAGTTATAGGGTAATGGCTCGTACATATGCTGACATTCTAATCATAAATATACACACATATATACAGTAGTGCGTGTTGCCAGTGATGACATATGGAACTGAGACGTGGTCCTTCACTGTTGGCCGTATGAGGACGCTCAAAGTCGCTCAGCGAGCTATGGAGAGGGCTATGCTCGGAGTTTCTCTGCGTGATAAACTTAGAAATGAGGTTATCCGCAGTAGAACCAGAGTGACCGACATACCCAACGGATTAGTAAGCTGAAGTGGCAATGGGCCGGCCATATAGCTCGAAGAACCGACAACCGTTGGGGAAAAAAAGGTTCTCGAGTGGCAGCCTCGTACCGGTAGGCGAAGTGTAGGGCGACCCCCCACTAGATGGAGTGACGACCTGGTAAGACATGCAGGAAGTCGATGGATGCAGGTGGCTCAGGCCGTGTTTTGTGGCATACCTTGAGGGAGGCCTATGTTCAGCAGTGGACTTGTAAAGGGCTGTAATGATAATGATGATGATGATATACAGTAGTTAAGTAGGTTTAAGTCTTAGGACTGATTATACAACAGTACTGTAACAATCTTTAAAAATCCACTGCGATTATAGGCTTTCCCATAGATTCCTTCATAGAGGAGATATTTGCCATAGCATGGGCAGGCGGCTTGGCAACCGCAGTTTTTTATTTTTTAGCCGTTATTAGGAAGGAGCTTTTCTTTGGCCTCTTACGACACCCAAGGGACGATATTGTATAGTGGATATGCTTTTTTTATAGGGTAGGGTGACAAACTAGCACACAGTCCACCTGATGGTAAGTGGTCGCTGCAGCCATCTACATTTATCCTCGATTACAAATCAAAATGCAGATGCGTTGTCAACCGTAATGTTAGGTTACTATTATTGCGTAACTATTATTGTTAGATTAATGTTAGGTACTATTATATTATTGTTTATAATAGAATTACTCGATTCAGCGCATCCTCAGCTATTTTGGTCATATCTCTCGCCGCGGGGACGAAAGTATTGAGAAATTAATAGTTGTTGGAAACGTAGAGGGAAGAAGGCCCAGAGGTAGATCTCTAACCCGGTGGTCCGACCAAGTCAAAGAAGTCAGTGCGCGAAATTTATACGACGCTCTCCTTATGGCCAGCGATAGGACCCGGTGGAGAGAGATGATAAAAAATAAACTTACTCTGATCACGATCCTATTACTGTGATCACGATCCTCAGTCATGAGGGACCGACTAGAGAGAGATAATTACTATTAGTTGTTAACATTAATGATTACGGATAATAGATGGAGTAATTTAATTTAACCGGAAAAATAATGTTTTGATTTCTGAGAGTGGGGCGGAAATGATGCCGCCCCACCCTGCTAACGAGTGCGAAAGGTTGATTAGTAAATGGAGAGCGGCATTAGCTCAACTCGAGTCGTCGCAGCAAGATGTGAAGTGAAGTTGAATTGTTTACAAGTTTAAATTGTAAAGTGAACCAAAGTGTAATAGTTTGAATCTACCGTTTTGTTTTCTACCTGGACTCGAGATAGTATTGTAGAAAGTGAAATAAAGTAATAGTTGGAATCAACCCTGTTATTTTCTACTATCTTATCATTATCGTATCTTGAAATAGTACAACAGTAAGGACTAAGATGGAATGCCTCGTTTCCAGTAAAAAGGTCTCCGGTTCTCTACACTCACCATACGATACACAGCAGCATTAAGTTACTATTTCACGCTGGTATTCTGTGAGAGCGTGGTCCTTCCCCGGTTGAGCCGACCCATTCGTGCTACAACTATGCTACTAATATAACTGCAGCATGGCTCTACCACGTATAAAAATTCAAAAAATTATACTTACTTCGTTTCGAACAAGTCTAATACCATATATTAAAAAGTATTTATATAAATACAAAATTTAAATGAAAAAGGTGGACAAGAATATGATTTTAAGAATTTTCTAAATAAAAGAACAGAATAATATAAGAATGACAAATCACCTAATGATAAATTTGATTTGAGAGATATATCAAAGTATACTTGAAAATGATCTATCAGAACAGGTTACTCGAGGGTGGACCAGTTATTCAGATTTATGATCCACACAATACTAGAGCCTTTATATCTGAGATAACAAAATTTATTACCAATTGAGAAATCAAGGCGCTTAATCGGAGAATATGAATTCACGCCCAGAAACAAGTAGTCGTATTTCAATGCTAGTAAAATTCAATGCTGTAAAATTTTAAAGGGCTTTTAATTTTTTAACAAATCATAGTAATGTGCGAAAATTAATAAAGCTGTTCGAAATAATTGATCAATGTATTATTATTATTTATTATTGTTTATTTATTTAAAGCTTTATATATGTACCCATACAAGTCAATGGTAAAGTGGCGCTTATTTCTTATATGACAATCGGTAAATATAACTGAAATTAAGATCATAAAGTTATCTTTAATGTAATTTTTTTAAAGTACTTGAGGATCAAATAAGGGTTCAAGGGAACAAGGCCACGCTGCAGCTATATTATGGTTGTAGCATAAATGGGTCGGCTCGCCCGGCGAAGGACATGTGACAATGCATTTGCATTTTGGTTCTTAATTGAGGTTAAATGTAGATGTCTATGGGCCACAGCATCCACTTACCATCAGGTGAACTGTGTGCTCGTTTGTCACCCTTATCCTATAAAAAAATATGTAGAAAGATCACATTGGGAAAGCCCTGAAAGGAATCGCGAATTTACGTAGATGCCACTCTTAAGGGGCAAATTGGCAACCACGTCATCGATTTGTAAATTTTACATCAGAAATGATAGATGGTAATATGGAAATCTCTCTGCCATTTTCAATTGTCGCCTCTTAGGACACCCACGGGACAAGATGTGTTAATAGATATTTTAACGCTGCCACCACACGGCGTGTCATCCAATAAACTAAAAATTATTTTTATGAAATTGTAATAGAAGTCAATAACACTTACGAGATGTTCGCCAGAAAGCACCTCCAGCAGCGAGATGAGGTTGAGTCCATCGCGCAGGTCTTCAAATAGATCGTTCACATGCCGATTCACCTGGAAGTACACATTTAGATTAGTATAAGCAACAATTTTAAAAATTAACGCAAACAACGATGCTACATAACGTGCATTGTTAAAAACTCCAGACTAAATTAAAACAACAAAAATGTTAAACAACAACAACAACGTCAATATAAAAGGCAGTATTAAAGAAACTGAGGATGTAAATAAAATCCAGTAGTCGAGGGTATTGCCAATCTAACTACCATAAGAAGGTACAAAAGTAAAGAGTAAGTACTGATAACATAGGGTATAAAATCACATAGAAATCTCACACGTCAAAATACGGAATAAGGAGATAAAACAATATTATGAAAACTTAATAAAACAAATTAACATCTATTACAAAAATTCTAAAAGTTTAACGTAAAAAACGGCATGCTTTTGTATTAAGTTGTTTATCTACGTAATATTTTGCATATTCAATTTGGAATTAATTTGTTTTGTTTTCAAAATGAAATAAAATGTAATTAAGTGTGCGTTATTAACTTAAATAGAATACTGCTGTAGTCATCAATTGGTTTTTTGTTTGCAGTTTGAAGCTTTGAAGTCATGAATGAGTTTTTACTTATAATAATTGTTTAAATGTTTAAAAGTGTTTAAATGTTCACAAATTATTTTTTAGTCTTATGTCAATTTTCAATTACATAATAATTTTTTTACATGCTTTATAATAATATCTTGACCTGATCATTGATACATACATAGATACGTATAGATAGGTAGAAACGTATGTATCTACATACGTATCTATGTATGTATCAATGTAATAGAATTTCGTAATTCAGTTTTCAGTCATTTCTAGACGTCTGAATAATTTGAAATTTTGTTATGACTATATAACCTATTCTCGCTGGGATGATAACAGCTCATGATCAACGCCTGTTGTTTAATTTCTTTTTTATTGTAATATAATTTTTAATATTCAATACCTACACGGCTTATATACCATTATTTACCGAATAAAAGGTTTTTAAATATAGAAATCTCAAAGTAAGAGTCCTACTGCCTTATTATTATCTTCAAACATTTTAAAATACAACAGGTATTTTGTATTCGTATAAAACACTTTTTATTCTTGTGCATCCGTTTTTATCCAACCATACTTAAAATTGCAAAACATTATGTAGATAATGATTCTGTTAAAATGTTCATAATTTAATACTACAGTACCGCAAACCACAGATGACATGTTTCTGCAGACTAATGAGAAGGGCAGTAAACGTTACTAATAAAACAAGTGTCATCTTTGGTGCAAGTTTTGTTAAGCCACACCTAACTTACTTGTTGAGGAGGACAACACGGTTGGTTATTGACGGTCTCGCACACGTGAAGACGCGTGTAAGTCTGTCCGAGCAGCGTGAAATACGTAAACACCTGGGTGAGGTTCACAGTAAATGACAAGTTTCAACACTACTATACAACTACTTTGCTACACATATTTCTACGTTGCAAGCTAAAATGGAATCGACTTACTTAAAATAGTTATATATACACAATGACATAATGACATAATGATAAAATAAAAACTAAACATGGCACTGATTAATTATATTAGGAATTGCGTCCAAACCATTTATATTTTGCCATTGCTTACATATATTCAAAGGCAAATAGTAAAATTTACTAAAACATTATACATATGTAACTTAGATGACTAATTTTAAAATATAAGCACATCTATACTTCATTGAGCTTTTAATTGCCTTATCCGGTTGTAAGTACTTTAAATTTCTTTAATAAACAACGATTTAAATTAAAATAAATGCATCAAAATATATGTTTGCATGCAAACTCATTTGATAATGAACACTAATATAAGTAATTATGGAAAGTAAATGGAAGTCATTTCATAAATAACACCAATAAAATCACCCTACGACTATTAAAATATTGGTGATTTAGTCAGTCCTTATAAAATAAATATTTAAAGGACTTACAGACAAATTTAAATTCTGCAATAGACACCATATATAGACCAACATAATATCTGTATAATGATGTTAAACAAAAATAATAAACAGATGAACAACTAACAGATGAATATTTTACCAACAACTACAGACAAGACTACGAGTACAAAAACAACGACTTCTGTGTATGTTACACACCTTCAAATATTTCCAGTGCTGCTCCGTGTCCAAACGATAAGCGATGGAAAAATAAAACAAATGAAAATATGTAAATTGATACTTAACGGTGACAATGTACATACAGTATAATATATTATGAATATATCAAACCTTAAACATAATAAATACACAAGCTGTCACAGATTATTTATGTTTTCTTAAACGGGCTCTCACCACTACCATACCAAATGAGCAAAATGGAACAATTTCGGTATCGCCCCAGTGCCTTTTCTTATCATAAGTTTTTCTAGACTTTTCATTTCACGAAGAAGATTTAAAGTAAGCATAATTACAAAATTTAATCAACTCAAACACAAACCCGAAGTAAGCTACAATTTTTTTTAAGATCAAATTAGAGTTCCGAGCTAAGAGTTCACGTGATTGCAAGTGGCTATTGCACCGCATGGGTACTGCAGCCAAATTAAAACATGAAATTACAGATGTATTGTAGATGCTTATACAACATGTAACTTATTGAATAAAACTAAATTTACGGATTCTACTTTACGGTTTTATTCAATGTGTAGTGTTCGCGTAAATTTAAGAAATCATTATATCAACATGTAACTTAATTAACGCACTTTGAGAAAGTAGTTTGTTCAGAATCGTTTACTGAATCGATTCCTATCATTTTTAATATAGGTAATTTTTATCCCAAAAATAATTAAAACTACGTAAATTACAGTCACACTAAATCTGTACAGTCAAAACAAACTGTACTGGACCTTAACTTAAGGCAATAAGACTTTTAAGAGTGCAGTTTTATTTGTATTATTACTAATTCTGTCATTCAATAAAGATAAAGAAAAATGAACTTTATTTCAAGCACGTTAAAGTCTTTGCGTTCGTGGATTTGTACTGTGACCACAACATTCTTCCGGAATTAGTTTAACAAATTTGATAAATAATCAGTGCATAAAAATGTTTAACTAAAAATTCAGTGTATGTATTATGATTATAATATAATATACTAATTGGGGCTTCTGAGGGTGTGGTTAATTACGTTACATATTGTATATAAGATATATTGCGTTGTAAGCTTATATGCTAAAACAGAATGCTTCATAATAAGAAATGATCAGTTCTTTTCTTTGTTAGTGCTATTTTCTTTCATAACCTTTAAATCGGACCCAACTATAAAATAAATGTTGTTTAATTGTAAAAGGTAAGAGAGTGACTTTGACACAGAAAATGAGCTTTACGAGCCTATTTTTTTTATAGAATAATGGTGACAAGCGAACACGCAGTGAACCTGATGGTAAATGAATGCTCATAGACATCTATATCTATCCTTGATTAAGAATCAAAATGCAAAATCACTCCTGAAGATTAAGATGGAATGCTTCGTAACAAATTAATAAAATATAATAAAAAATTAATAAAAAAGTCTCCGGCTCTTTACACTCACAATGTGAAACGCAGCAGTATTAAACTGCAATTTTACGCTTGTATTCTGTGAAAGCGTGGTTCTACCCCAGTCAAGCCGACCCATTCGTGCTGCAACCATCAGCTGCCACATGACTCTACCAAATATTAAAAAAATCAAATTGCTATTAATTTGCTATTTTGCCTCTTAGCTTATTTTGCACAAATTCTAAAGAACCGTTTTATTGAACATGTAGCTTAAATATTAAAATCATTAGCTGTTTTATTATTGTATGTTTTTATTCTGAATAATCATTAACTGTTTTTAAATAAGTCTTCTAAAATGATCGACCATAACGATAATTTTTATTGCAAGTCTAACATTTTCTATTTACACTAACAAGTTCCATGAATATCTTACAGGTTACAAACACCTTCAGAATAAATCTGAACTTACAACTTCTGCTCATGGCAAGTGTAAATTAATTTGTAACGCCCTTGACCTTCAACCGGCCACTAAGTTTACTTCTAGTCTAATTAGTAATATTTATTGACAGATAAATTTGATAAAATATCAATGAAAAATAAATAAACAAGATAAAGATCTATGCAATACGTTTCTACTTCGTTCACCTATTTTACCACTGTATTTTACCATATATTTTCTTGACTGCTAACAAAGTCAGCCGCAATATACTCGTACATTTAGGTATTTTTTATTATTAATGACAGAACTATTGCGAACTACTAAAAGTTTTACCTTTTCTATTACTCCAACATTTTTATAGGATAAGGGTGACAAAGTTTTAATAAGTACTCTCCACCTGATGATAAGTGGATGCTGTACTGAGGACTAAGAAAGAATGCCTGTAAAAATATTTCCGGTTATCTACAATCACCATACGGAACACACCAGTATAGCTAGCTCACTGCTTCTAATATTTAACAGTTTAAACATGCTTCTTTGGTCCAGTGGTTGTAGTAGTACGACTGCAGATCATGAGGTCCTGGGTTCGAATCCCGGGTCGGGCCAAAAAAAGTAATTATTGAGTTTTTCCATCAAGAACTCAGTAGCTGCTCGGAGTCAGGAAGTTGGCGGTGTCTCACCCCCGTGCCTCGTTAAGCACGTAAAGCTGTTGGACCTGCGCCGATCTCTCTTCGGTCGTGTCGGTTTACCGTCCCATCGGATTATGATAGTGAGGGAATAGAGTGCACCTGTGCTTGCGCATACACTTGGACACTATAATCCTGTCCTGCGCCGATGGCTAGCCTCCGCTGAGGCAGGCCGCCGTGGCCGAAATTCGGTCTGGAGGACATGATTATTAGTTTAAACCTAAAATATATTTTTATGTTTCATACATACAATATGACAACAAAATAACATACGTAGGTCATCTTTTGAAGTCTGGTTTCTCGGTTTAATTATTTATCATTTATCTTCCATTGAATGTTTCTCTAATTTTTACTTAGGATTACAACACGAATGGATGTAAATTC